TGAAGTCAATCCTAAGTATCTTTAATTGATATTTTCTCAACAATTTACAGTTCTTTGTCATTTAATTTTAATTCAACTCTTTATGAAAAACTCATTCTGTTTTAATCTACTTAGTAAGCATAAAATTGGCAATTTCCATTGAAATCGTTACTTGTGGGATCGACTTTTATTTAATCGAAATACTATACTGCGATTGATAATTTGTTACGTTTGCCAATAATTCAACATTGTATCATATATCAACCTTAATTCTGGATTTATGTTCTTATAAAGTGGAACATGAGTGATTCAGTATCTTTTTTTAATTCGCTGCCTGAATCATAACCAATGAGTAAAGTGATTATATGATTGAAAATATATATTTTTATTATTATTTTATTTAAATTAGAGATATTAATATATTTTATATTATTTATAAAAAAATTACATTATTATTTAATTTAATTAGTTAACAATATTTTGTTATATATATATATATATATATATATATTATACCAATAAAATATTATAAAAAAGAGAAAAAATTTGATCGTATTGTATATTTCATTTATCAAAAATATATATTTAAAACTTTAGAATGTTATTAGTGGTATCAATAGTTTTATTTCTTTAAAAAAATCATCAGTTATTATTTTATTTTTTTAACGACGAAACTTATAATTTATAGTTTTTTAAAAATTAATCATATTCAAAGGATTAAATTTATGAAAAATATGAATGAAGATTATATGATTATCAGCTACCTAAAAATTTTAGTACGACCTAAATCAAATTTTATAAAGAAAAAAAGAAAGATAAAAACGAAATCATATTTGTAGGTAGTTATTTCAGAAATGATTTTGCCATTCTTATAAAAATCGTGATCCAAAAGTCACTAAAAAAATTTGCAATTAGAAATTGAAGTACCCACAGAAAGTGGCAAAAAATTCTTCTAGGAGAAAACTGTTAGGTAAATTGATAATTAAATATGAAATTCATTCTAATGATCAAACATATATCTATAATCCCATATTGTAAACATGTTATAAACTAAATGCGAAAGCGTACCTGAATTGACCATAATGACGATATTCTTTGTAGAGCACTTTTGATTTGATCTTAAGGTCTTCCACCTGAAGAGCACCTGTATTTCCCTCTTGATTTTCTTTCTTGATGGGGATAGAAAGAAAGGAACGGGACTGTAACTACGTTCTGTCAGTGTGCTCTCAGAAGGGGACCATGACCCTTTAAATAACCAAAATTAGGTTAATTACTTAAGTTTTAGTATTTTCAATTTGGCCCCTCATCAAATTAGAAATTACTCTATGGTCTCTACACAATCATATTTTCATGACATATGCCTTTTGCCAAAACTTTAATTTATTCATATCACTTTATTATTTGACTTAATAAATAATGACCCTAACACATTTAAATATGTATCATATATATACATGACCCAAAATTTGCCAACAATCTCCCACTGGTCACAAATATATATGTCTTTACAACCTTACAAATGTGTTAGACTTTATGAGCTCAAAATTGTCATTATATTCCTTTAGCATATTCCAAAAGTCATGTCCATTAATCATATCAGGATATAGAACCAAACCAGCTTTTCATTGCATCATCGCAACTAAAACCAACAATGATTACTCATCCTGACATAACCAAATGACATGGATTCATCATGAAATGTGTAGCATGAAAAATTACGTGAATGTGATCTGTACACGTCTATTTTCAACTGGTCCAAACTTTAACTTATCGAGATCGATATAGTAACCTTAATGTACAAAGTGTAATGAATGAACAAAAAACCGCATATCTATAGATAACCAAATATGTCCAAAAACAATGTATACATATATTAAATTAAACATAGAACATAAAATATATGAAAGTGACTAACTCCCACTAAACCACAAATTCCTCAAACTGTAAAACACCCATATGAGCAACATGCTCATGAAAGACCTTGGGCGGAAGTCCTTTAGTTAGAGGATCTGCTATCATGGAGTTTGTCCCTAAATGTTCTATGGAAATCTGTCCACTCTGTACTCTTTCCTTAACAATACAGCTGATTTATTGTCACAATATAACTTAAGTGGTCTTTCAATGCCTTTCACAATTTGCAGCCCTGTGACAAAATTTCTCAGCCATATTCCATGATTTGATGTCTCATAGCATGCTACAAATTCTTGACATCCTGCAAAATATGAGTCAGAAAATCCAGCGATCTCCAACTGGTCTGACCTCCTGTATGTGAGCATATAATCTTTTGTTCTCTTTAAATATCTTATAACCATTTTTGCTGCTTTCCAATGGTCTATTCCTGAATTGTTTAAATATCTGCCTCGAACCCCAACTATGTATGCTATGTCTGGACGCATACATATTTGAGAATACATCAAACTCCTGATAGCTAATGCATGGGGAATCTGTTGCATTTCCTCAATTTCCAAATTCCTCTTTGGGCATTAATTTACCAAATTTCCCTTTGGACACTAATTTAGACTAAACTTGTCTCCCTTAGTAACTGGAGTATCCCCGGCTCATGACGCACAGGTTCTTGAGGATCTTGAGTTTGGTCTTGACGAACAATCAAATCATCTTGAATATGGGGTTTATCATCAATGTCTTGTGGAGGTTCCAAACTTGTTCTGGATTTATTGTCGATTCTTCCTCCAATACAAAATTCTTAATCTTATTCTTCCCCCCAAACTCAATATCCTCAAAGAACATAACATTTCCCATCTCAAAAAAAATGTCTTTAATGTGGGATCATAAAATTTATAACCCCTGGCTCTCTCAGAATAACCAATGAAGTAACTACTTACTGTTCGGGAGTCCAAATTTTTTTTTTTTTTTTTAGTTTAATACCACGAGATTCTGTATTAAGAGTTGCATTATAGGTGACCACAGTATCAAGTAAATATAGATTATCATTAGCCAAAAAATGAACCAGTTATAACAATATCTGAATTAAAAGACAAACTGAACTTATTGTTTCCAAATGAACACAAATAACCTAATTTGTCCAAATAAGAAACTGAAACAAAATTTTGTCTAAAAGACGGCACAACAAAAAATGTCTTTTAAATCTAAAATAAAAAACCAGTACACAATAATAATCTAAAATGTTCAATAGTCTCCATCTCCACCAATTTGCCATTTTCAACGTATATTCATCTTTCAGAATTAGTTGACTTCCAGTAGTTTAGGCAACCCTTTCTTTTCACGCCAAGCATGATATTTAGCACATTGCTTCTTTACGTGTCTAGTCTTATTGCAAAAGAAACATTTATTTTCTTAAGTTTGTTTCTTTTGTTCTGGACCTTTAGCAGCTTCCTTCTTGGGATCCTCTGATCTCTTTCTTTTGCCTTTAGGCTTAAAGGTGCTTGCAAAATGAGCACTTTCTGTCTTGTCTTGCTTTAGCCTTTCTTCTTCTTGTACACAATGTGAAATGAGTTCATTAAGAGACCATTTATCCTTCTGACAGTTGTAAGATACCTTAAACTGATTAAATGTTGCGGGAAGAGAAATCAACACCAAATGAATGAGCAAGTCTTCTGAGAGTTAGAGCTTTAGTGCCTTGAGTTTAAAAACAATATTAGACATGCTCATAATGTACTCCCTGATATTTCCTTTGCCTTGATATTTCATGGAGATCAAGTTCTGAAGAAGAGTGCTTGCCTCCGCCTTATCACTTTTTGCAAAGCGCTGCTCAATTTCAGCAAGGAACTCTTTGGCACTTATGATGTTTTCAGAAACAGTGCCCCTAAACACCTCCGAGATGCCGCGCTTAATGATCATTAGACTCATGCGATTTGAGCGATCCCACTTTTTATAATCTCTTTTCTGTTCAGAGGTACTTGAATCCGTAGGAACAGGGGGTTGCTCAGTCCTTAACGCAAGATCCATATCCATGCAGCCAAGAATAATATCAATGTTCTCTTTCCAGTCCTTAAAATTTGTTCCATTGAGGACCGGAACAGGATTTAAATTGGCAGATACAGAAGCAATTGTAGCTGGATTCGAACAAAAGAAATAAACTAATTATGCTCACATTATAAAATAATTAATTATAAATAAAATATATATTCAAATAATGGTTTAACTCATCTCAAGACACTCAATGCACCATCAATATCAAGTCTTTGGACAGTAATATTAACTGCTAGAGGTATCTTGTTGTAATAATCAAACATTGACAATAAAACACGTTCAACAACAAACCAGTCTTTGGATTGATTTATCATCGACAAAGCAAATCTTTATAATTATCACATGTTTATCATTACAAGTGTATATGCAATTCGACCAAATATTAATCTTCTTTTAGTCGACTAATACTGCATTGAATATACACAAAGACTAACATTTAATATTTTTTACGAACTACCCAATTCAAGAGATGTTACTTTGGTAACTTCTTGACTCAATTTGCTCACAAAAATATTAAACTACCAAACAAATGAATATTTTATTTATATAATAAAATCAAATATATATACTCCTCTAGGTTAGCAAAACTCTGCAGTACTTATTTACATGCTGCAAATATTTTCTCCCCTTTTTATTCTCACCATTATTATCATCCTCACTACCGTTTCCAAATGCAGCCACTTACGGTTGCAAAACATAGTTCGCTCGCCGCTACTGCCAGCGTCGCACTTTGCGACGACGCGGGCCATGTGAGGTGGAGGAGTATTCTTAAGATATGAAAATAGATAGATCTATTGGGGATGTTCACATTGGACTTCAACCTTTACACGTGCCAAGTCGAAATCTCACGAGATCCTAATCCCTTCTTTATTTTCTCTCTCTATTCCCTTTGCTGATATCTCCGCACGCCACATGATCCCTCACGTGTCACCTTTCCATCATCCAAGGGATCGCTCCCTACCATACTTTCTGGTTCCTTCACGCGCTTTCTACATCCCACCGTCCATTCCCAAACGTTCCATAAATCCTAGCCGTAGACTCCTAAAACAGGGCATAGAACTCTGTTTCAGCTACTTCGGGATGAACCCTTCCCTTTGGCTGTGATATTTCTCTATACTTCCATACCAACTCCAATGCATACCTAATGCAACAATCCGTAGGATTCCAGCAGCAATTACCTCAACAAAGGCCATTAAGAAAGATCTCTGAGGGGATAAACCTGCAGTTGCTATGGATAGTGCAATTCCTTCCAAATTGCAAGACACAATAAAGCTGCCACATTTTATGCCATCGAAAGCTTTCTGAGCAACTTCTTCAGCTTTCATAAAACCAAATGAGGATGCAATGATTTTTGTGAGCTCCGGTTTTCTCCTGTTTTCTTCTGCCAAACCTGACCGGCCTGTGAGGAAACAAGGGCAATGGAAGCAGGCAGCGGATCCTTACGGTTCTTCATAGCGGGCAGCGCAGCCTTGATGAAGTTCAACGTTCCCATGAGATTGACGTCCAGGGTGAACTTCACCTCACTCAATTCCATCTTCTCCAGCTCCAGCCCCACGAACACGCCGTGGTTCAGCAGTAGCACGTCGATTGGCCCGGCCTCGTCCACCGCGCGCTTCACTGCCTCGAAGTCCCGCACGTCCGTTGAGAACACCGCCACCAATAGATCTCGCGAACCACCTACGTGAGGCCCCTTGCGAGAAGACGAAACCACTGTTGATGGAGAAAGCCCGTCGTTGCGATCGAAACACCGCTGTTGCAGAATGCACCTCCACAGACATGCAGAAAAACCAAAATACGAAGATGCATTCGCAGAAGGGGAAAAGGAATTCGGAGCTATTACACCAGAAGACATCGATTGGGATGAAATGCTCTCGATTTAGGGTTCAACACACAACTCCACGCTACCGATTCTCTCCATCGCCACTACCATGTCCGACGCCTCCGTCACCACCCAGAGCGTGCATCTTAATTAGAATCAATGGGAGGAGGTACCGACGGTCTTTCGTAAATGACAGCTTTGATTCTTACTAAATTGTTAGAGGCAGTGTACAAAGGGATTATTAGCAAGAGACTACTTGTGGGTGTTATTCTTGCACGAGCAAGACTCCTACAAAGGCTTTGTTTGGTGGTTGCCAAGCGGAGAGACAACAAGAAGATTTAACCCCAAAATTGAATTTAGGGTTTATGAAAAATTGGAGATTATTCTCCACTTAGGGTTCTGAATTAAATAGAATCTTTTATAAATGTAATTTCCAAAGACAAACATGAATCAAGTATGGGTTGCTCTGATACCATTGTTAGGTAAACTGATAATTAAATATGAAATTCATTCTAATGATCAAACATATATCTATAATCCCATACTGTAAACATGTTATAAACTAAATGCGAAAGCGTACCTGAATTGACCATAATGACGATATTCTTTGTAGAGCACTTTTGATTTGATCTTAAGGTCTTCCACCTGAAGAGCACATGTATTTCCCTCTTGATTTTCTTTCTTGATGGGGATAGAAAGAAAGGAACGGGACTGTAACTACGTTCTGTCAGTGTGCTCTCAGAAGGGGACCATGACCCTTTAAATAACCAAAATTAGGTTAATTACTTAAGTTTTAGTATTTTCAATTTGGCCCCTCATCAAATTAGAAATTACTCTATGGTCTCTACACAATCATATTTTCATGACATATGTCTTTTGCCAAAACTTTAATTTATTCAGATCACTTTATTATTTGGCTTAATAAATAATGACCCTAACACATTTAAATATGTATCATATATATACATGACCCAAAATTTGTCAACAAAAACCTTATCAAACCAAATCCCATTCATGTTGAAATAAGACTTTAAAAAGTAACAATATTTCAAAATAGAAATTACTCAAAATATAAGAAATGTTTCACTTTGATAATGAGAGAACCGAAGAACTCTTAAAAGTAAAAGAAGATACTCTTAAAAAAAGGACATAAAGCTAAAAATTGTGGTTATGAAATGGGAAAACTTTAAGTTAAGCCAAAAAAACTATAAAAATTGAATAAATTCGAACTTACCATAAATTTGTTTATGTTGGAAGATACTGAAACGCAAAAAGATAAAAAGAACCAGATTAATAAAACGAACCCAAAAGTAAAATTTAAGAAAATTTCTAACATTAAACAATTAAATGGAAGATTATAAGTGCGGTAGAAAAATTTTATAAAAGAAATATGGTGTTGAGGAAGAAGTTTGTTTGTAAGTGATTAAAAGTAAAATATTATGGTGAGACAATAATATTGAATGAAGAGGTGATCTTGTAAAAGAAATGATAAAAATTAAAAAAAAATTAAGAAAAAAAATCAAATTTAAATAAAAAATATTAAAATAAAAAAATATTTAAAGTATATATTTTATTATCTTTTTATTTAAATTAAATATTAAGAAATTTTATATTATTTATATAAAATACATGAAATGAAAAACTCTCTCCTATTATATATTTAAAAATACATATTTAAAATCTTAAAATCAAACGTATAAAGTTTTCTAGAAATCTGTATAATAGCTTTTAGTTCCGAAGTCCTTGAAAAAAAATTTATCATGTATTATATTTTTTTAGTTAGAGCATCTCTAATAAAAAAATTAATTTAGGGTGTTTCAAGCAATTCTCCCTTTCTAATGTCAAGATATGAAGAATTACTTTAAACTTGTTTTAAATTTGAGAAAAATTGCTTGTTGAGACAATTGCTACTTATTATAAAATATACTTTATTTTTTCACTAAAAATTCACTTAACATCAATCCAAAAAATTATCTTAATTCATATATCATGAAAAAAAATTTGTAAAATCATCAACTGTCAGTATTAATCCAGCACCCAATAAGAAGTAAAAAAGCGACATTCCAAGAGAAACCACATCATAGTCAGATTTTGTGACACATGACCGCAGTGACATGCAGTTACAAGGATACATGGCAACACACGGAGACAGTGAGATGGACACAATTGTAGGCAGCAGTAGACCCAGGTGTAGCGGTAGTAGACGCGACGGCATTGATGCAAGGGCAACCACTATTTTGAAAATCAAATCAGTTTATCGGGTTGAATCTTAAATCCTTCTATTATTTTTAGATAATTGAATTTTTATTATAATCGATAAATTATTTAAATTGTTATATGAAAGCGATTTTAATAAAAAAATAATAGAAATAATTTTTTTAATATAATTTTTTATCTCATTTTAATTACATCAATTTTAAATAATAATTATTTTATTATATTATATTTTATTTTATTTTAATAATTTTTTATTTTTAATATAATTTTTATTATTTTTTTTATAAAATTATTATTACTAATAAATTTATTATATATATATATATTATATAAAAATATTATTTTATTAAATCTATTTCTTTACCGATTAAGTTTAAATCATTGGCGACAACTAATGTGGTTGCACTATACACAAAAGCAAAAACAGCGTGAAAGCATTATAGAAGAACAGCGCAGAATCGGAAGAGAAAAGTGAGAAGGGCAAGAGTGTCAATAAAAATAATAATAAAATTGTACGGTAGATTTGACCGTTGAGTTGATTAAGTTATCATATCAATTATAATAAATTTTTATATTATAAAATCTTAATGGTAAAAAATATTTTACATATTCTCTAATTCACCATTTTTTTATATTTTTTTATATTTTTGTAGTGAGTTATAAATTTTAATATATTTAACAAAAATATAAAAAAAATTAATAAAAATTAATTTTATATAACATAATTTTTTTAATGTTATTAATTTTTATTAGTATACATTATTTAAATACTATATATTTAAAGTTATTTTTAAATTAAAATATGATTGTATATTATTAGCTAAAATAATTAACTATTTAATAAATATATTATTAATTAATACTAGAATAAACATTATAATGAATAAATTTAAAAAAAATATATAAAATAATAAATTATTTAAAATTACTTAAAGTTACTATAAAACTCTCATTTCAATTTTATTTTATTTTTTTTAAAGGGAAGTCACTCATATTGTTTCCATTGGAGATCTCCATAGAAGAATTTATTGGGTCGAGTTGTCCTTTCATTTTGTCAGAAATCATGACAGAACGACATAAAACTTTAGACATTTGCTTATATCTGTTCAGGGACAATTACCTATATTTTGAATAATATCCATGGAAAAAAAATAGCATGACGAAACAGAATAATAATAATAAATTTTGTTTGTTTGAATATCTGAGTTAATTAAAAAATTATTATTTTCATCTCACTAATTTGGAAATAGTTTACTATTGATCCTTATCAATATATTAGAAAAGAATAATTGTAAGGCCAAAAACTATTTTTAAAGTATTGAATGAAAAATAATAACTTTTAAAATTTGGAAAACCCAAAGAAACTACCGTCAAAATTGAAATATCAAAATTATATTTAAACCTAATTAAATTTTCTCTAGTTTATAAGAGCCTTTCAATTTAAGTTAATAATGTAATAATGTTTTGTAATAGTGTAAAATTGTTGTTTTATGTGATTATAGTACATACCCCATATAATAATACAAATATCACTTTTTATTAGATTAAGTTATTTTTTAATAACTCTATACATTATCCATTACTTTATTCTTTAATTATTCTCTGTATTACCTAAACTATACCTACTATATTCCGTATTTTCTTAAGATTCTGGCATTAAATTAATATATTTTAATATTAAAAAAATATGAAAGTTAGTAAAAAAAATGAAATTTAATAGACAGACACTACCTACCTAATTTTATAATAATATATATATATAAAAGAAGCCCAAAGTTTGGTTTAACTTAAATAACTGGTGAACATATGTACCGGGTTGTTGCTAAACCTTCACATGAATAATATTCTTAAAAATTTAGTAAAAGTTATACTCCAGCGATTGAGGCTCTGATAAACCTATCAGCAGAAAGTTTTATATGATCTGGTACAGAGAAAGGTTTAGAACAGAGAAAAAAGAAATGGTGATGGTTTATTAAAGGTTAAAGAACATGTGCGTTTTAGTAACTTAGAATTATGATAACCCAACAATGGAGGTTCTATGATTAATATATTTTTTTCATGCAAATAATTATTACAATCAAGAGCCAAATCATAAACCAGCTAGTTTGGACAAGTTTTTTATAAATATTTTAAAAATAAAAATTAACTTTTTTCGTTAAATGAAATTAAAATTATATATAATTTTAAAACATTTTTTTAGGGTTTGTCCCCTGTGAATCAAACCAGAGCCAGCATTAGTGAAGAAAGTTAAAAAAAAAAAAAAATAAACCCTAACTTTTGGATTCACCAAATCTAACCAAAGTATCATAATTGATTCCTCTCGCCCCTTCTCTTTATTTGTACGAAGCTTCCCATGCAGGATAACACAACTCTGCAAAAAGGAAAGATTTAGTTATGAAATTAATCAATTATTAATTAATAATATTCTTGAATTTCTTTTCCAGAAAATCAAGATTAAAGACTGAAATTAAAAAGAAAATATAAATTTTAACTATATAAATATGTGGTATTCGGATAAATTACCTTATCACGTCACCGATTCAACGATTTAGTACAATATCTTCTTTTTAGGGGTACAAATTTAGAAATCACGTCTAGAATTACGTTCATTAAGAAATTGTATTCAAGACTAAATAACCTATTAAAAAAACATTAGGATTAGGTCATTAACAGATTTTTTTACTAAAATCATAATTGATCAAAGTCTTGAGAAGTTTGAGCATAATCTAAAAAAAAATGTAAACTTAGTGAAGTTATCTCAATAAAAAAATTGTAATTAACATGTTATTTTTTTCAGTTTGTTTAATAAATACAAGAGTTGAAGAGGAAAAAAAAGAAATGAATTTTTTTTTGAAGAAATATATTTTTTTTAGAATTAGTTAAGATATTAAAGTAAATAAACTGATTAATGATATCTTCCCACTGTTTTTCTCACACTGATTAATAATCGAGTTAAAAGAAATTCCGCAAAAAAAAAATAAAATAAAATTGTAGTGTCTTTAGTTTAAGACACTAGTTAGTATAATTATGAATTGCTCTATTATTGATTTTTATTTTTGGTTACGTACATTGTTTTCACCTGAAAGAAGGACACGTTTGCCAGATTCTTTTCATTGGGAAAGTTTTTTCCCCCAAAACCACGAGAAACATGCCCAATGCATATTGCCCCACATTTTCGTCTTCATATCTTTACAATCTTTTATTCAAACCTCTTTGATTAAATGGATAATGGCGAATATGCAGGGTCTCATCATAAGATGATAAAAGTAGCCTTACATGGAAATCACATACTCAGTAATCCATTTCACTCATAAGTTTCTGTTTCTAAACAAAAAACTGAATGCATTTTGCTTTTGCGATTAGTGGGGTATCTATAGCAGGCCCTCTGCATAAACTAACACTCATGTCTTTGAAGACAAAAACTAGCATAGCCAAAAAGTAGCAAGATATATTTAAAACGATTTAGTAGAGGAGACATGGATCATCGAAGAACCTGTTCCTACACTTGCACAAAATTTCACTGAAAATAGAAGCAAAATGGAGGAAGTTGCAGTGAAGTTTCCACCTGTCCAATGCATACGTCCAAAATTCAAACCAATATTCTGGTTAGGGTAAGTTGTACGCATTGCTGTAGCCACTTTCTATCTGTGATTATAATATACATTTCAAACAATTGTCACTAAATACAGTTTAATATAATATACCGTTAAACAAATATATAATAATGCCACTCCCAGTCCCTGGTTCGTACTTATTAGCCGTGCGTAGCCATTGGCTCCATCTTTATCGAAGCTCAGTTGCTTCAATAATGGCAGAGAAGATTTGCAGTACAACGATTAATTTTTCAGCGACGTACTAATGTTAGCTACGAACAATGCATACCTTATCACTTGTCCGGTGGGACATATACTTAGAATTTATAGTTTCGAAGCACAACAACGAGAACGTTGCACGATGCTTTGTCTTCGTTTGTTGCTGCATGAATTACCTCAAGGAAGTTCAAGAAAATCTAGGTTTTACTTCACCACTTCATGTGGTAAACACACTAGGGTTACAAGTTTCGCAGAGAGAAAGAGAGAGAGAGAGTGATGACTATTTCATTTTAACTTTTATTCACGTATATATGACATGAAATGTAATAATTGGTTTATTTTTCCAAAATTTGAATATGAAAGCTTTCAAATTTTCAACATTCTTCTGTTTTCTTGCGTGCAATTTAAAAATGTAATAGTGGGGGTAGGAAAATGTCTTCATCAAATGTACTGCATTAAATTCAACCTATACTAATAAATAATTCAATCTACACTAATAAATAATTCAAACTCTCGTGTAGCATGTTTCTATTTTATCACGCACGTACACAAACGCAAAGTGCTTTAGTTCTCAGTTTCGTATCACAATGCGACGAAAAAGAAAAGTTTTCAGTTTCGTCTTTTCTACGTCGAATATATTCAATTAATTGGGGCTACTATTACTATTGTTTCAGCTTTTTCTACGTCAATGATTCCTTTTCGATTAATCATACATGTTTATTCTCTGTCCTAATTATAACTTCTTTTTTTAATTGCTAAACCTATTTTAAAAATTGAAAATCGATCAATCCATATCCTATTATTATAGTTTTAGTAACATTTCTACTCTAGTTTTTTTTTTCTTTTATATTCACAAACAAGATTTCGTCATCCAACTTTGTGTAGTGGACATTTTCTTAATGATGTGAAACTGTGAGTTTATGAGAGGTTAGTAATTTACTTCGTTCTATGCATGTTTTATAATAATGTATACACCACGTGTGGTTATTTAATTTTTTATTCTAGTGTTTATAACTATATGTACAATGTCTCAAGTATTCGTCATAACTCAATTAGTTATTATATTCTAGATTGTGTCATTTTTTTTTAAATTGAAAATAATTTTGAAAGTTTACTTTTTTTTTGTTTTTTTTTTAACTATAAGTTTTGGTTTGCTTTGAATTTGAAAAATACATTCAAATAAAACTAAATTGAAATGCATATTACTTGAACACGTATGGGATAGCTCATGACAATTGTTCAGCTTTTTTTTTTTTCTAAACCTTTTTATAACAAAAAAATATATATTGTATTTGTAATATGAAGTAACGTAATTTATGATTATTTTTTAATTTGTTTTCTCTTTCAGCCGTTCTACATTCTTCTACTAAGTAAAGTTTGATTTTTTTTTTTACATCCAAATAATTTTTTAAAGCAAATTTCCAATAAGTTTATTTTAATAAAAACTTTATTCTTATTATAATTTATCATAACAATAATTTATTTACATGTAATTGGTTATATTATATTATATATATATATATATATATATATATAATATGTTATATAGAAAAATCATAAAAATAAGAAGATACATGCCAATCTTATAAGAAAAGAAAAAGAATCTAGTTTCTTAGATAATAATTCAATAATTATAAGATAATTATTATTTCAGTTAGGTAATTAATCTAACTATCTTTAACTTCAGTTTCTATTATAAATACTGGGTATCTATGAAAAAAATTCTGTTTTTCATATTCAGTATTTTGTGAATACAATTTTTCTAAGTATTAGATTGGATGACAACATGTTAATATTTGATAAAAAAAAAAACCTAAATACATACGATACATGAAAATGAAAGCATTACTACTAATTTAAGAATCCAATAAATTGAAAGAAAAAAGAAAGTAAACCACCACTACAAAATAAATAGATTGTATTGAATTTAAATAATGTGAACTAGTGACATGTCAAATTAAAAGTATATAAGAATTATACATTAGTTTTGCTCAATTAAGTAGTATTGCATTATGCAAGATGAAAGCGTCATGATCTACTCATCTCTCAAGAGTATGATTAGCCAGTAATTTATTGTAATATTTAGATCAACGTATATAGAGAATCTTCTTCATTAAATTGCTGCATCTCAGCCATTGTTTTAAGGAAACATTTACTGAATTCCATTCTTTCCATTTTTCTATCCCAGCCAAACAGAAACTAAATCTTTTGCTCCATTAACTTTGTCCCCCATCAAACCCTCTTATGACAATTAGTGTATCATTTGCATCACACATTGCAACAACTTCAACTCCTATATTATCCAGCCTCGAGAAAACAGTTGTAGCACCTACTCACCAACCTTCTAAAATTAACACACCAACACATGGTATTTAAAATGTAAAAGATTTCTATATATTTCAAAATAAAACACTGCCGTTTTCTCATTTTTACAGTAAGTTACAAAAATATAAAAACATTTTTCCTCAGCATTTCCTGACACAGACAGTCTTCCCTTGTCCTCCTAGAGTCGTCATGAACACCTTCAAACAAATCTCCGTTTTCAATGGAGAGAAAACATGGCAAAAAAAATGTGAAATTTAGTAAGCAGCAAAAATCCTACATGTGTTGGTGTCCCTTTTATGTTTGTGTCTGTCTTGTTTGTTTTTGTCAAGTCTCTGTAACATTACTGTACATAAAAGAATAAACAGTTTGATTTTGCCCTGTCATTAATCTAATAAAGAAATGTGCATGTTGAAGAAGCACATGCAGGGTCCCATCAAATGAAACACAAATGTGGAACCTTCTCATTAAGTAGTTGCAGGGTGTAAGTTCTTCTTCTCATTCTCATGTATTATACGTTATGAATGCGTACATTTGTGATGGTTACGAAAAAGCTTCTGCACCTTCCTCGAAAGAGAACGGCTCAATTACTCGGTGAAAAAGAAAGCAATTGTTGCAATGAAAGCTGCATAAGCTCTACAACAGAAACATTCACATCATACTTAATGATTCAGCCACGTGTCATCGTTATTCAATGGCTTTAATTCAATAGGGTTACTTATTACAAAATTACATGCAAACTTTATAGGAGAAAAAGTAACCTTGTATTCAAATTTGTGGGGGTTGATTATGTAAATCGTTTGCTTTGTTGTACAAAAACATCATTTTCTATATATTTAATTTATTATCTTTGCCCCCCTTTTTACGTACTCGAATAAAAAACAACTATTTCTATTATTTACTTCTTTAAAAGTGTAAGGTCATATATTGATTATAATTTCTTTAATTATACCGTTAAAGTACTTTGTAATTATTTTATTTTTGAAGGAAAGTACTTAATTATTTTAAGTAATAATGTTTCTATTTTAGTTAAAATGAATCAATATTAATTATAATTAAAAAAATTAAAATGGTTTTTAAAAAATAAAGCATCAACTATACATTTTTTGTTTTGTTTTTCACACTATCAATTAATTCAAACATTAAAACTATTGTTTTTCATATATTATAAAAGTTAAACAAACTTATACTATAATTTATAATTCATAAGCTTATTAATTCTTGATAATCTATAATAAAAAAATAGTGAAAAATACTAATGCAATATCAATTTTAATTTTTTTAATATTTTTTAATTAGCAACCGCAAAGAAATAAGAAAATAAAATCAATTGAATTTATCTCATAATTAAAAACAATTCATACACTTCAAAATAAAAGTAAAAAAGAAATACATCTATGAAAATAAATGCATAGTAAGCTAATTTTTTTAGAAGAGAAACCAAATTTATAAATTGCTATTTTTTTATAAATACATAAAAAAAATCTAAACACCAATTTTTCGTATTATATTGGTTTATTGTGTTGCTAATTGGTCGATATACAAAATATATATAAAGAAATGACTATTATTGTTTATGAAATTGTGAAGTATTATTAGATGACTGAATTTGCAATTAGAAAAATGTTAATAAAATTCTGATATTGATATTTTTTTTGCATGTTATATATTGTGTCAGTCTTTCTCGTTAACTTCGTTATGAACCGTAATAATAACAATAAATTACAAGATTTAAAAACAATAATATGATAATAAGTTATGCATATTAAACCATAATAATTTCAAAACACCATTAAATTTTTTCTAATTCTACATATTTGTATGCCAAAAATGGCACAAGTTCGAAGTGTACCAAAAAAACACATAAAAAGGTAATATTAAAACCCCCAAAATCTTGGTTGGCTTTTTCTGATTATTTTACTATATATAAACAAATGGATGACTCTTCTATGACAAGATACCATTATCCTCTGCACACAGTAACTAACAACAGCAACCTGTTTTAGCCAACAGATTCCTTGGGGAGATGGATCTTGACTACCTTCTGGACTTCGAGGACTACTTCCCGTCCATGATTGCACGGATGGGGGCAGAGGGGTTCATCGGAGAGCTCTGCAGCGGCTTTCGCTTGCTCATGGACGTGAACAAGGGTCTCATCACCTTCGAGAGCTTGAAGATGAACTGTTACTTGCTCGGTTTGGACGTGAGAGACGACGAGCTCGCGTGCATGTTAATGGAGGGTGATTTGGACGGAGATGGTGCTCTTAACCAAATGGAATTTTGCATTCTCATGTTTAGGCTCAGTCCTTGTTTGATGGATTCGCCTAAAATGTGCAGCACTCAGGTTCGTGCAGACCACATGCTGATGTAGAATGTAAAATACAGTTACTGTCACTGTTACTCTTAACCCTGTTAGTTTTTACCTACTTCATCTTCTTCAGTTTTTCTCTTACTCAATTGCATAACATTTTCGTTAGGTTAAGAGGATTCAGAGAAGAAATGATGTTGTTGTTGTTGTGACTTTGATAATCTTTTGTGATTCAATGTTCTCCCAAAATAATATGTTCGTCCATGTGTAATTTCTCTCTCTCTCTCTTTCTCTTTGTTATCAATGATTGCCTCATCTGTACTATTACTATTACTATTATTTTTTTAATATATTCTGATGTGCCATGCACTGTATCGAAAGTTAACGTTAAAAAGGTGTTGGAGAAACGTCATATCACGTCTTCGTTCACTTTTCGTTGTCCCCTTCGGAAGTGCCAAACTAAGTTGTTTGTGGCTTAGGAACCAAAGGAGAGTGACGAAGGCTCGCACATGGTGATATTTCCGAATTGAGTTAGGTTTGATTCAAGATTCGGGAATATTTTGTTTTGTTAATATATATATATATATATATATATATATATATATATATATATATATATATATATATATATATATATATATAAGTAAAGCAATTTTTCTATGATTGTAGTAAAAAGCTTGTTTATCAAAAATGATATTATAAAATAAGACAGGATTAATGTTTAGATTTTTTAACTAATTGTTAAAAAAAGTTAAATAATATGCGTAAAATTATATTAAATAAGAGAATTTTCTTACAAAGAGTAAAGATTGTGAATGAAATTACATTTTACACATATACTTTTGTGTTAATCTTTATAGAAAAGAGTCAAAACCTTTTTTTACAAAAACCCTTAAGGAAGCATTATTTTGATAAAAAAAAATAAAAAAATCAAGTTACTAATGTGCTATTTTTGTTCCATATCAATTAATGTTTAATATATATTTTTTAGCCATGTCCCCAGCCATTAACAATTGTTATAACATTAAATGGTCTTTATTTTATGTGTATTGATCATCAACATTTAATAGATAGTATCAACTAAAATGGTTATAGAGATTGAGCAATTACTAATCCTCTGTAGTATATTCCTTTTTTATTTGATTCTACATTATTGTATATTTTTTTAGTTTTAAATCCATTCTTCAATATTTTGGTTTGAAAATGAGTTACATGGGTCATTAACATAATTAATAACTACCTAAAGTTAACATATAACTTCTATCATAAGGCTAAATATGTTAGTGTGATTAAATCTTTTATATATATGCATGTGTCATTAACATATAATTAATGACTACCTAAAGTTAACACTTAACTTCTATTAAAAGGGTAAAAAAAATTAACATTTTAGTATAAAACCTTTATGATGTAATGATTTTTTAATGTTTTTAAGTTGACGTATTAAATGAAGATTCTTCTATGAATGACGTTTCAACACTTAAGTCAATAAGTAATAATAAACAAAATGGACAAAAAAATAAATAAATTGAGAATGAATGAATGAATGAATGTATTTCTTCCAATAATATCAACTTTAATGTAGCCTTATCATATAATATATTTATTATATATCTAGGGATAATCTCTGAATTATCTTCTCATGTAATAGGATAGTTTGATTTGGAGATAATCAAGTTTGATATTAGGTTTTATTTGCGGATAGAAACTTAAATTTGACTCTAGTTAATCAAGTATTATACATATATAATATTAGAATTATTAGGTAGAATTGAACTCCAGCAGGAAATAAAATCTTACATAGATGTTAGCATTATTGAGAGAAAAAAAAATTATAATATAAAAATCACTATAAAAATGCCAGAATTGTACTTATTAATAATGAATAATGCTTTAGCTTCTTACTGTATTATTTCACTAATATTCTAGAATTTTATAAAATAATAATTGAAAAATATATATTATCATCTTTAAAATATAAAAATACTCAATAAATAAATAGAAGAGTTAATAGGAATATATTAAAAATACTTTAGAAATACAGAGCAGTTTAATTTTACTTATGCAGGTTCCGCTATATTTGTTAAAATTTTATATCAATTAGAAATATAATTAAATTATAGTATATAAAATATCGTATAAACCAATTTTATATATAAATTTATAAAATTAAATTAGACATTATTTAATTATTATTTACATTATAAAATAACATAGAGATTATTAAAAGAACCATATTTTCGCAAACAAAGAAAATACTTTTATTGATACGTATTTTATATTTTATTTAACATATGTTAGAAACAAACAAAATACTTGCCGCAGTATAACATGTTATTATTATGAACGATGAATTGTAAAGTTGTTTGGGGAATGTAACATAGTATAACGTTTTTTTTTTTTAATAAGAACTTACTATTTTAATCTTTTTAAAAAGTACTTATAAGTGTATTGATTAACAGTATATATTGGAATTGAAGTAGAAAATGTAATGAAAAGTTGGATAGAGTATATAAATTAAAAATGAGAAAGACATAATTTTAAAGGTGAAAGGTATTATTAGTTCATTCATTGTATTGCAGTTTTAATATCGTGAAATGATTGAGAAGCGAACGTGAGAAAGACGATAAGCAAAGATAAAAGGGAGGCCATAGAATAAGATTTGCATGGAGATAAAGTGAGAGGTTGAAATGAAGCAAATTGAGCCATTAATCTTGAATTCCATTGGAGCTATATGACATTTAAAACAGCCAAAGTGTTAGGCAACATAAATATAAAACGGAAAGCAACACATTTTTGAAGATGAAGATGTGATGAATGCGTCATGTCCAATTTCCCATAAATTCAATATACAAAAGATTGTATTAGTCTAAAATAATTGGATACTTATTCTCATATACGAAAACTGACGTAATAAAAAATACAAATTATTTTATTATTCTTTTCTAAAAGTTTATATTTACAATCTAGGTAATTCATATATATATGTATAACTGAATTGTAAAATGGATTAAAATAAAGATTTATATCTTGACGATGAATTTATTAAAAATGTGTATATACGGCTACATTTAGAGCAAACGCATAAATTATGTTTCAAGTCACAAATCTGATGTTGGCCTTTCGAACATGCCAGGGGACTTCCTTCAATGTCCCGCAAACAATACATACAGATCATGCAACATCACATTTTGTTCAAAATCCAATAATTCCTATATGCCCTATATGTAATTTTATTTTCTTCTACAAAGAATAAACTAATACATATTTTATCACAATAATTATAATATTTTTAAATACTGTTTGTATTACATACATGTGGGTGTGTGCAGAGAGAAGAGATATTTTTTAATTCAAATTGTTAAAAGCGTGGTAAAGAAATTATATATATATATATATATATATATATATATATATATATATATATATATATATATATATATATATATTTAATGATGCAGAGGCACGCATACATAACATCAATCTGCTACTTACTAGGTCCTTTTTTGGTTTCTCCTATCTGATTTATCTAATTGTATTTATGTATTGGCATGCACAAAGGACCTACACATTGTGTGGGTATTTAATTACAACAGTGATGTTAATAAATTCAATCCTTTCAAATTTTATCTCTCTCCTTCTATATTCGATATCTTGTATGATAAACAGAGAACTAAATTTTGCAGGTGAATCATAAATTAGTTGAGGTGGTCCTTTTTAAAGGTGGTCCATGGCAAGTTGCAGCAGAGGAGAGAAAAGTGTAACTGGTCCTGGCAGTCGTAACTTCAAATTTCAGCATCTTGTTATTATCGTTGTTATTCTTGTGTTATAATGGAATGGAATATTTGAGATTAGATAAACCCTAAAGATGAACCAGCCACTGCACTGTTTGCCAGCACACCCATAATAAGTGACTATCTTACTCGGAGGGGCGTCATCTCTCTAAGTTTTCTAACTTCTATGTAATCTATGATTTTGGTCCTCCTAAATTTAATAGACATTTAATATATTTACTTATATATTTATAATTTTAGTTTCTCATTCCCTCTTTAGTTTTATAATTCTTATATAATTTATTATTTTGTTCCTTCAAACTTAATAATCATTTAATATATTTACAATTTTATCTTTTCACCCTTTCATCTTCTTATTTTATTTTATATTTATTTATTATTTATTAATAATATATTATTTAACCCTCAAAAATCAATGGTCAAGATCCACCACTACCAATAATTATCGTCGTTTTCTTTCTATTTATTTGTCTTAGAGACGAGGATAGGTTACACTGCATCAATAATCTTATTTTCAACACAAATACTAACTCTGCTGGTTTAACAAACAAATGAATGAGTTCACAAATATGTTGACATGTGAAATGTCGTAACAAAGTTAATAAAAATATTATATCCACATTTTCTATGTTTGAAATATAAAAACCAAAATAAAATTTAATGAAAAAGGAAAATAAAAAGTATATTTATTTTTTAAATTTATACTAATTCAGTATTTAAACTGTTTTCTTTAACCTTCGAAATTTTACAATAGTTCTTTGTTCATTTCTCTGACTTATTTCTTCATAAACTTCCATTCTCACACCCCCAACAGAAATATTCTATTATGTATGTCCCTACAATTCAAACATTATGTTTCTATGTGTATGAATTTTGGAAAACAACTCTAATGTTTTTGTATATTTTTTTCAACTACAATCTTTTTTATCAAAATTTTGTAATAATTATAATTGTTTCTTGTTACAATACTTTTAACTATTATATAAAATAACAAATTTAGTTAATATATTATTTAAAATACAAAAGTTTAGATAAGACTTGACTAACATTAATATATATATATATATATATATATATATATATATATATATATATATATATATATATATATATATATTCAAAATCGTCACACATGTTGTCAATAATATTTTTATTTTAAAAAAATTAATACACCATTTTTATCAATTCATTTTCATTTAAAGTTTTTATTTTTTAGAATTCAAATAATAAAAAAAATTATTTCATACTTTAAAAGTTAGTTTTCACTTT